AAAACTGCTGAACACTCAGCGCAGTGTGGGTAGGTGTGCTCGTAAATTACCCATTAGGACATGGGCAAATATGCTGAAAGAATCTCCAAAAAAAATTAACTGAAACTGAACGCAGCCTCTCACAACAACGCTAACTGGTATACTGATGCTGACGGATTCCTGGATCACCTAGCAGGGAAAGCCTATACTACAAGGGCTCTATCCTTCAAAAAATAATTCTAGTTTTTTTATGTCCCCCTTCTGTATTTGTTACATATGAAGAATCTTGGTTGGGCTTAATAAAATAAAAGGCAAATTAAACTTATTTACTGCCTTATGAAAGACAGAAATATCAATCTTTTTCGCATCTATACATCCTGTACCATGTTCATAAAAGGATCCGAGATGACAAAGATAATGCTGGTTTCACTAGTCTTAGGAAGGGAAGAGACAGAAGAGAAATAAGTAAAGAAAGCGATTTTCTGGATTATTCCTAAACAGTTGAATCCTGATCACTGTAAGGTAGACAGATGGAGAAGGAAGCAAGTCTTGGAGGCTATGCTCCTCTCCTGGACTCAAGACTGGGGAGCAATTTCATGGGTGCAGTGTGGACTAAGTTCTTGGCTACAAAGTGCACTGTGAGAAGAGCTGGCAGGAGGAGGCAGAGTGAATCTCCATGAAGCTGTCACAGAGGATTTGCTCTGATTCCTTCATGCCAATGTCTCAGATGTCCCTTGCCAGCTTCCACAACTCTTTACTAGCATATTTCATGGAAAGTTGCCACATTTTAGTGCTTGCTACCCCAAGGGGTACTGAACCTCGATGGCTTCCAAATTATTTTTAGGCATGGCTGTGTCTGGCAGGGTTCTAACAGAGAACCAAAACGAATCCAGCCCTGGGGCTTGCATCAACGTTTGATGTCAATGATCAAGGGTCCAAACCGTTTCCCTCAGGACTTTGGTTATCAAAGAATGTGGGGCTAGAAATACAATGAAACTGAGCCAGTGACATAACTTTATCATTCTTCAATTTACAGCCAAGGTGTCAGCATGGTATTTCACATCCCTAGACCTTAAGAACAAGATTATCCTTCAGAATTGAAATTGGAAAGTATCAATATATAATGATTTCACCCTTCTTTATGGCTCCGTAATATTCCATTGTGTGTATGTACCACATTTTATTTATCCAGTCTGCTTTCTGTGGGCAGCAGGGTTGGTTCCATGTTTTTGCTATTGTGAATAGTGTGGCTGTAAACAAGTGTGTGCAGGTGTCTTTTCTGTAGAATGCAGACTTCTCAGCAAATTGGTTGGAACTGGAGACAATCAGACAATCATTCTTAGTGATCTATCACAGAAACAAAGAACTGAATACCACATGTTCTCACTTATAAGTGGGACCTGAACATTAATCATAAAAGCACAAGGGAGGGACTGGCAGTCACAAGACATGGCTGGGAGGGGGGTCACATAACAACACCTGATCCTAAACCAGGGGGAGCGAAGACCAATCGGAGGCCCAAACTTCACCTTCACACACATTACTTATGTCCCTAATCCTGACTTGTACCCCACATCTTTATAATAAAATAAAAATTTTTTAAAAGTATCCATATATAATGCATAAGACCAGCCATCTGTAGAATTAACCCAGCTTGGGAAAGATAAAGGGGTGAGGACAAAGAGTAACTCCAAAGCCCAGTCGATGTCACCATTGTAGGGTCAGAGGCCATGATGGCAGGAGTCCCTTTATAGCTGAAATAAATAAACGTAAAAACCTGGCTTAAGTGAGCATGGCTCTTTAGGTGAAGTATTTATTAATAGTAGTGTGTTTTGGCTTCCTGGGAGATGGGCCCTCTGACTGGAACATCTGGTTCTTTTAAGAAAACAAACACCTACCATGGACATGAGTGCCTCGGGCCAGCATAGCTCAGTGACACAAGCCAGTGTTTCTCAATACATGTTCCTTGGAACCCTATGCAGTGAGATGCTCTATAAAATAAGGAAAATGCTGTGGCCAGGTCTGTAGAATGCCGCTATCTCTACCCATCTGTCTGAAGATTCATCATACACATCTGTTCTCCTGGGCTTCCTCATCTCAATAAATAATACCACCACTTGCCCAACTGCTCAAGCCGGAAGTCTAGGCTTTGTCTACGATTCTTCTTTCCCTCACTCCAGTGTTCACCTGTCTGCAGACCTCTTGGCTCAACTCCCAAGAAATCCTGAGCTGGGCCATCTCCATATCTGTTCCTACTACCTTGATCCAAGTCGCTCTTGTCTATATGACTGCAAAAGCCTCTTAACTGGGCTCCTTCCTTCCATGCTTGCTCCTCCTTGATCTTATTCTCCAAAGAGAAACAAAGGTGATTTTTTTTTTCTTTTTTGAGTCAGAGTTTCACTCTGTCATCCAGGTTGGAGCACAGTGGCATCATTACGACTCACTGCAACCTCAATCTCCTGGGATAAAGAGGTCCTCCCTCCCCCACTTCCCTAGTAGCTGGGACTACAGATGCGTACTGCTACAAACAGGGTCTCGCTATATTGAACTTCTGGACTCAAGCAATCCTCCTGCCTCAGGCTCCCAAAGTGTTGGGATTACAGGCATGAGCCACTGCACCTGGTTTGAATTTTTTTTTAACTATAAATCAAATAATTCTTCTGCCCAAGACTCTCCCATGGCTGCCTGTGTCTCTTAGAATGGAGTCCACATGCTATACCCAGTTTAGTCAGTACCCTACAACCTGGCCTCAGTGGCATTGCTGGGGTCACCTGTCACACCCTCATTCATGTCCATGCCAGCAGCCCTCTCTGCTTCCAATCAACCTCAACATCTCCCTGTCCCTCGCCCACTGAGCTGTGGCTGCACTAGCCTTCCCTCTGCTCCTCTTACATGCCACGTTGACTCCCAACCACAGGGCCTCTGCACCAGTCGTTCCCCCTAATGGATCTACTTGACAATTGAGTTTTGCATGGCCACTTCCTTGACATTCACCTCCCTCCAACTTCAGTGTCATGTTCTCAGAGAAACCTTCTTATCAATCCAACCTACATTAGCAACCCAGTCCTTCTGAATCCCATCTCCTTGCTATAACTCACCACTATCTGATATTTCCCTCCAGCGGCATGCAGAGAGCAGGCAGCTTGGCTAGCTCATCCATCCTTGCCTCCCGAGGGCCTAGAACACTGTCTGGCACATGGGTGGCGTTACGCTCACTAAAAGTATAAGCATATTAGCATGCTCAAGGATCTGAGAGGACCTGCAATAAAGAGTATAACTCAAATTATCTTCCAATTTTGTCCCTCCCATAGAACCCTTCTCCTGCACTATAACCCAAGTTAGCATCCCAGGGAATATGCACCCTGCAGAGCACAGTTTGGGAAATGATGCCCTGATCACTCATATCATCCATATCCATCAGGGAAGCTCTGCCTGGGAATGACTCCCACTCAGGCAGCTCTCCCAAGAAAGGGTGCAGGGACTGGCCGCTGGATGTCTAAGCCTCATTGCGAGTCCTAGCATCCTGCAGATTTCCATATTATGAACTGGATATAATTAGATAATTAACAAGGGGACCTGACTTCCATCACACCCAGCACTACAGATTTTAACACCATCACAATTGGGAAACAGTACTTCTCAGAGGGAAGAAAGCGGTAACTGCCTATGAGGCAGCTGCTGTGTTTGAGTAGCTTTGTGCTGCGCCCACCCACAACGGGTGATGAAAGGTACATCAAGGTGTGCGGGAAGGTTTATTAATGCTGGTGCTCTGGGCACTGGAAACAAAAGGCCATTACTCTTTCAGCATACACTAGATGAAATCAAGCAACCAATGTGATCAGTGGTGTTTAGGTTTTATAGCTAAAGATGTATGGATGGCTTAAAAGAAAACAGTTTCAATGAACTTTTCTGTAGATTTTACCATGAGTCAGAAGCTTCCTAGTTCCTAAAGTCCTTGTTTTAATATTCTGCTATTAAAGCAAATGTTTTGGCTGGGTGTAGTGGCTCATGCCCATAATCCCAGCACTTTGGGAGGCCAAGGCGAGAGGATTGCTTGAGCCCAGGAGATCAAGACCAACCTGGGCCACATAGCGAGACCCTGTCATGACAGAAAATCAAAAAATTAGCGGGGCATGGTTGTGCACGTCTGTAGTCCCAGGTACTCGGCTGTGGTGAAAGGATTACCTGAGTCCAGGAGTTCTAGGCTGTGGTAAGCTCTGATTGTGTCACTGCCCTCCAGCCTAGGCAACAGAGTGAGACTGACTCAAAAAAGTTTTACAGAGCGGTCTTTTGCAGAGTTGTTTAGGAATCCAAGTATTCCCACTGTAACACAGTAGAGAGTAATCACTGTGGCTTGTTCATCTGCTTATACGTCAGCCTACCGTGAGCCTGACTGTGAGCACCAGTCCCTCAGGGAACACCAAAAAGCAGGCCCTCATCTTACACAGAGGGTGATCATCCCTGCACAGTGGGACTCCCCCGCCCTAGGTCCATCATAGCACAGTCACACCGAATGGGCGCTGCTCCCATCAGGGGATGCTGCCCCCTCAGGATTGTCCCCCGACTCTCGCTAAGAACCACTCACCACCTTCCCTCACTGCCTACTCTCTTTCTCTTCTGGTAAAGCAGAGGTATCTGCTGGAATAGAACTTTGCCTCCACAAAGTAAAACTACTCTCATAACTAACACCAAACACCCGGCCTGTAGGCAAACACACAAAAGGGTTCTGAAGTCTATTTTAGGGGCTGTGTGTTGCCCATGAGCATGTGGGTAATAGGCAGGAGTAGCTCATTAGCTTTGGCTGCTGGCGATTCTGACCGCTAAAAGTGCATGCCTTGGCCCGTCATGGGGGCCCTTGCTGCATCCATTTCAAGGTCATGCTAATTTCCCTCCGACCCACTAATAGCTCTCAGCATTGAAGAAGCTCCCGTGAAAAACACACAGAGTATGGGACTAGAATTTGCCCAGGGTGGAGGAGGGTGCCTGAAAACCAGAATGATCAGCTGGCGACGAGCCCCCACCTGGACTGCATCTCAGCTTGTGCTTTTGACTGCTGAAGTGTTGCTGGCTGGTGAGGTTGGCCCAGGGCTTGGGGAGTGGCCAGCACCTGCTGTTGAGGGGTGCCAGCCTGGCACTGGGAGGGGGCCCCGGCCGCCTGGGACACGGCGGGAGGCAGAGGCGAGGAGAGGTGCTGCTTCTGGGGCTGTTGCTGCTGCTGCTTGTACCGGGATAGGCTGAAGAAGAGGCCTAGAATGGCCTTGAGGTTTCCATTCCTGATCTCTGCAAGACAATAAAGAGATTCCGGTCAGACGGGAGTCCCCCGCTTCTTTCTGTTCCACGGGCGGCTTCAACCCACACATGAGTTTAATTTCTCTAGAATGAACACTTCATTGGCATCACAGTTGATTAAAATCAGGCCTAAACCACAAAGAAATGAGCTGATTCTCCCCACTGGGATTCGTGCGGAGACACGAGGCAAGTTGCAACTGGATGCCAGGTAAGGGCCAAGAGAAAATTCTCAGCGAGGACACCCCTGGAAGAGCAAGCATCCCGAGCAAGACTGTGCTTGCTCCACAGGCAAGGCAACCAGTCGGGGACAGAGGCGCTCTCTGTCACTGGGGGAAATGCACCATGTTCTCAGCTTCAAGCTACACTGAGTGTGCCAAGTGGCTGCTGTCCCACCCCACGGTCCGTGCTCGGTCATCCTACTCTCCAGTGCAGGAGATGGCAGAGAAAGCTCCAGAATGGTGGGCAAGTCCCCTGGTTCTTTTGGGCAGTTCCAGTTTCACCTTTCAGCTGCGCTTCCCTCTCCACGCCAGGAAGCCAAGGGAGAGGCTCACACCTGTAGCACGTTCTGCTCTGGTTCCAAGAGTCCTCGCCTGTGTCTATCTTGTCTGTTGAATAACTAACTAATTTGGGATGGTTGTAGGGACAGGCTATCAAGGGCCTGCTTCTGTAAGGGACTCAGATGAAACACCCCCTACATTACAAGAAATTAGAGCAGAGTGGGAATACATTTTTGCTTTTATTCCAAACGATATTTTTCAGATGTTAAAATGCACTTGCCTGGAGGCATGCATAGAGTTGCAGAGAAGAATAAAATATTTATTCACAGGCAGAGGGTACAAATCACAAGGGGTTTCTCAGGCGAGCCCTCCTTTTATACAGTTCTTCTAACACCAGTTGCTGATGGCAAGGCGAGAGTCTACGCAGACCCTGGCGGGGTAAGTTCTGGGGTCAGCCAGCATGAGAACAGAGGAGGAGGAGGGGGGCAGTGCAAATATACTGGCCCTCCCTGTTTTGCTGTCACTCTGGATATCTTTTCCTGAACTGGCAAAAGGGGTGTGAGGCCCAGGGAAACCTCAGAGGCCTTGTTAGAGGGGTGGGGAAAGGAAGCTTTGCCCATGTAGGTAACCCACTAGTCCCAGGCTAGGAAAGAGGCTGTTAGTCCTCTCCATAGGCCCAGCTGGGGATCAGAAGGTATGAATGAGTCCTTTCAGAAGCAAGCTCCATCCTGTGAGAGGGTGGGAAAACGGGCAACCTGCAGGTGCCTTTGCCCCTGTGATCTGCTGATTAGACCAGGCTGAGGTACTTGTCGGAGCATCCCTTTCTCCAGACTCTAAGAAAATGACAATACAAATATCTAGAATCCAGCCATCACACCCCGTGTCGGGAGCCAGCAGAATCTAACCGTGGGACAAAGCAGACAGGAGCAGTGTTTGGGAAAACTAAGCCATAAGTTCCAATCTGTATTCAACTGCTTACTGGTTGTGCAACCCTGGGCATGTCACTTAATCTCTCTGGGTCTTAGTAAAACGGCAGTACGAACATCACCTGCATCATAATCACACAAGGTTGCTTTGCAGATCACATGAGAGCATATATGCGAAAGCATACTGTGGACAATGAAGTCTTTCCCCGGTCTTGGTCACTATACAACAATAGTCCCTGAATCCTGAATAAGACCCTCGCAGCTTCAGCTTCAAACCTTAAAATGATGTTTTTCACAATGTTACACTTTGAATGTACTGTGCAAAACATGACACTATTGAGAGTGAAAGTGGGGGCTGGAAAGGGGGACTCTGATTCATACCAGGACCACAGCCGTAAGCCAGGTCTGATCTGGGCAAATCAGGGTGCAATGTCACTGCTTTTAAGCCACTTTGCATGATGCAGGCAGCAGAGAAAGCTCCCAAGTGGTGGGGCAAGCCCCTCAGGTTCTTGAGGAAGTTCAGCTTTAATGCTTCAGCCCTGCCTCTTCCCTCTGCATGCCAGGAACCAAAGAGAGGCTCACTCCTGTGGCATGTTCTGCTTCTGGTTCCAAATGTACTCACCGGTACACGAGAATTTCTCTGTGAGGCTCTGGCAGTGACAAGAGCTAGGGACAGAACCAAGATGAGCCAACTCCTGACATGCAAGGTAGCACCTATTAAGAAAGTTGGCATAACTGGCTGGGTGCAGTGGCTCACACTTGTAATCCCAACACTTTGGGAGGCTGAGGCAGGAGGACTACTTGAGCCCAAGAGTTTCATAGCAGCCTAGAAGACAGAGCAAGACTACATCCTACAAAAAAATAAAAAAGACAGCTGGGTGTGGTGGTGCATGCCTATAGTTCTAGCTACTCAGAAGGCTGAGGTTGGAAGATGGCCTGGGCCCAGGAGGTCGAGACTGCAGTGAGCTATGCCACTGCACTCCAGTCTGGGGGACAGAATGACAGTGAGACCCCTACTCAAAAAAAAAAAAAAGTTGAGAAAACAATTTCCTCTCGAAACTGAATTCACTGGAGGGAGAAAGTGGTGCTAATCACGAGGACAGACAAAATCTATGTAAGACTTCTCTTTAGTTCCTTTTACGGTTGTTATCACGTTGTTATACAGTTTATAATAACAGGAGCTATTACTAACTAGTATGTATCAGGCTAAACCCTTTATATGCATGATCTCCTTTAATCCTTACAACCTGAGAAGTATTATTATTCCTCTTCCACTTAAGGAGAAACAGAGGCTCAGAAAGATTTTATGACCCCTCCAAGGTAATTAACAGTGGGCCTGGAATTTGAATCTAGGTTTTTCTGGCTCAAGGTTCAGTTTCCTAACACTGAGTCACCTGTCTTACTTATATACCCATCATGTGTGGTGAATTTCAAAGCATACCAGGTAACATTTTATTTATTCAGCTAGTATTCTTTATTCTTCTGGTGTGTCCAACATTCCATAAGGCATTTTTTTTTTCATAATTGCTGTAGGTAGATAAGTAGGTCTTGAATTTACTTTTCAAACAAGACCTGTTCTATCTTTTCATTTAGGAGGCTAAAAGCAGAGCATAAGGCATTTTTAAAAAACCATTCAAGAAAAGACAAAAAAGAGAGCCACTAAACAATTCAGTGATATCCAGGGTTTCAGGGGATGACCACTGTAAAAAGCAGGCCCATTCACATCACAACTTTCTTTTTTTTTTTTTGAGTTGGAGTCTCACTCTGTCATTCAGACGAGTGCAGAGGCATGCTCCCAGCCACTGCAACCTCAACCTGCTGGGCTCTGGTGATCCTTCCGCCTCAGCCTTCCTAGTAGCTGGAACTACAGGCACGCGCTACCACACCCGGCTAATTTTTTGATTTATTGTAGAGATGAGGTCTCGCCAAGTTGCCCAGGCGGGTCTCGAACCCGCAGGCTCAGGCAATCCACTCACCTCGGCCTCCCAAACTGCGGGATTACAGGCTGAGCCACGGAGCCCGGCTTACATCACAAATTTCTTAACCTACCAGCCTGACCCCAGAGAGACAAACAGAGTCAGTTCTGGGTTCTCTATCTACTGTGGCCATTGAGAAACTTACTGTTCATAACAGTTTGTCCCTAAAACCTTTTTTCATTTGTCAAAGCACACTAGTAAATAAAAACACTTGTTCTGAAGAGGCAGCATTTTTATTATAAAGATCACTTATTTGGGGGGCCAGAAAAATCTGGGGTTGAATCTCTAGAATCCATCATTTATACACTTTGGGTTTTTACAAGATTCAATCTCTCCAAGTCTCAGTTTTCCTTTTCTTTACAATGGGCATATGTCCTATCACACCTTTCCTACATGACTGCTATAAGAATTGAAGATTAAATGAGAAAATGAGTGTAAAGCACCCCCTGACTCTGCACTTTCCCTTTTGCCTCGGGAATTATGGCCACTCATTCTGCAGCCTCTTCAGAATTCACCACATGAAGCTCAAGGAGCATCCTTCTCCCCACAGTGACTGGTACCCAGAAGGAAACCAATCTTTAATTATCTCATAGTAGGGAAAACTTGGTGGTGATCTCCCTTGTTTTTTCAACCAGCTTTACTGTGGTATAATTTGCATTTATAAAATTACGTGTACAAGTCAAGAATTTTTAGTAAGTTTTATAAATTCTTGATTTATAATCTTTCTATCATTCCCCCTGCAAAGATTCTTCCTGACCATATGTAATCAAGTCCCAAGCCTACTCCCAGGCAACCAATATTCTACTTTCTGTTTCTACAGATCTGGCTTTTCTGGACATTTCCTGAAAATGGAATCATGTAATACAACTTGCAATGGTCAGACACACGATTTTTCAACGTTATCGTTGTGTGGAAGCAATAAGTATTTGGTGGAAACCATACATTGAGCACCCATACGATCTTTCCATTTTTCACTTTCAGTCAGGTTTCCAGTATTCCATAAATTACATGAAAGATTCAACACTTGATCATAAAATAGACTTTGTGTTGGATGATTTTGCCCAACTATAGACTGATGTAAGTGTTCTGAGCATGTTTAAGGTAGGTTAGGCTGAACTGTGATGTCTGGCAGGTTAGGTTTATGAAATGCATTTATTTTCCATTTACAGTAGGTTTATCTGGACATAAAGCCATGGTAAGTTTCAGAGTACTTTTTTTTTTTTTCCGAGTTGGAGTCTCGCTCTGTTGCCCAGGCTAGAATGCAGTGGCACGTTGACGGTCACTGCAGCCTCGACCTACTGAACTCAGGCAATCTCTCTGTCTCAGCTTTCCAGGTAGCTGCAACTATAGGCATGTGCCACTCTGCCCAGCTGATTTTTAGATTTATTTTAGAGGTGACGTTTCGCTGTGTTGCTTAGGCTGGTCTTGAACCCCTTAGCTCAGGTAATTCTCTCTCCTTGGCCTCCCAAAGTGTTGGAATTACAGGCGTGAGCCACTGCGCCCGACTACATATACTGACTTCTTTTACTTATACTGTTTTTAAGGTTCACCTGTGTTAGATCCATATTGCTGAATAGTAGCCCATTAAAACT